TGTGCTCACTATATGGGCTGTGAAATGCAGATTTTGGGTAAAAATCCCTTCACAGCAGAGAGGAACTAACTAACCAAGAAGAAATTAACTTGTTTCTATACATAATATTAATTAGGAGTAGCTACAGGATGTGAAGGGAGAAGCTTTTGGGGATCTAGCTGCTCAGAATTTGGAGTTGAAAGAATTGAGAGTTTTATCTCATGTCATGATTTTCAGTGGATTTAACTGTCATATTTCCAATAGCATTTTTTACTTTACTGACCACAAATCTCAGGATGTTGAATTGAAATCTGAACTTAACCACAAACATCCATCTTATGCTTTGCCAACTGTCATTGGAATGTGCCAAAAAATACTAACCCTGCATGCATGTAGGAAAAGTGGCCTTGGCAAAGGAATACAGCACAACATAGCAAGTTTTAAGTTACTTTCCAGAAAGCCTAGTTCTGTCATTCAGGAAAATCTGGGAAGCTGGTTCAAGCCTTCTTCCCTCTGATATGGCTAACTTGCATTCTCAGGAGTGGGGAAGGGAAAAAATGTCTTAGAAAGTACCTTAAGTAGTGTGTTTTGGTGTTTTTTTTTTTGCTTTCATATTTTGAAATTGTGGCCTGTCTTTAAGACACAGCAGTTCCTTTTGCCACTTTAATTTTTAAATGGATTTGCCCATTTATACAGTACAGACTGAACATGGGTATTAAAGAGTACTGGAATTTCTGAAACCTAAACCACACAATTTTCTATGGAATTGGTCCTATATAGATTGGGCAAAATGACCAGATGAGGCAGAGTGAGCACACTTAATCGTGCAGTCTCTTCCCCCCAAAGTTTTTAATATGAATACTAGGATAAGGGGTAACTAACAGGTTTTTATCATACTGTGCCCTGCAGGACACATTTCAATGTGAAATAGAGAGGGCTTTTGTGGCTGCCATTAAAACTATTCCTGAAGCTAAATCCCTCCATCTCGCTCAGGAGTCATTCCTTAGTGATGTTCAGTATTAGACAGTCATGAGTCACAGATGAAAAACGTGATAACCTTGGTTGCCTGAAGCTCTGTACATACCATTAATATCCAATCACTAAAGAGTAAAAAAGCACTCAGTTGAGTAGGGTGAAATGCATTTCCTCTGCCCAAAAGGTGAAAAACTGATAAAATTCCTTTTGTGCCAGGAACCTCAAATCTTGGTAGTGTTAGGATTTTAGAGACTCACATCAAGAAAATGCGATAGTTTTTAATTTACTTGGTCCCTGATTGGTACTGTACTTCAAGCCATTTAAAATATGTAAGATCAAATTATTTTTAAACAGTTTTCTTATTACGTATATATGAAAAGATAATTAGGAAAGCTCACTATAAGTGTCTGTGTTACAATGAGCTCTAGGCACAGTGAACGTAAGCACGAAGCTTGTGATTTCTATCTGTAAAGGTATTATCTACACAGTGCCAACAGCATGTGTTTGGGATATATAAAATGACAACTACAGTGATCTTGATCAAACTTGACCTTGAAAATGCTTAGTTTTCATGCCCACTGTATTTTGTTTTTATATTTCCCTTTTACACCTCATATAAAATCAACCTGACAAATGCTAACACAGATCTGAGATTCATTAGGAAATCATTAGTTATCCTAAAGGGATGTTTATGGATAGATATTTTGGGCTGTCAAGACAAATTGACCAAATGGCTTCTCTGCAGCCACCTTCCAACTGTGGCAGGCTAATGTCAAACCTTAGTGCATGGTATTCCTTTAAATCCACTAAGAAAGTGTTTAGTGGAAGTGTCTATGGTGATAATCAAATTGAGCCTCAAATGAAATTTGTGATTTAGATATCAACATAGTTAAACTATTAACATCCCAAGGCATTTTTCATGAATTATTTTCCCAGTTAAAGTTTTTATGTAAGTAGTATTTTGTATTGGACTTTCAACTGGAGAGTCAAGACTCTCTCAACTGGACAGACCTGAACAGTTGGTGCTCTCTCTGCCATAGAAATGGGTACAGTTAACTTTGACTCTATTTCATCAGCCTTCCGCTAAACTTCCTTTTCCACTAATTTCATGGTTTACAGCCCAGCTGTAAAATCTAATGAAAATATTCAACACTGATTATAATCACACCCTTGGCCAAATAGAGATGGTGTGCTTTCTCCTTAAATCATTTCAGAAAATATCATTTTAGCAAAAATAGTACACTCAAGAACACTTGGCTCTGCAGCACCTGGTACAGTGTTGTAATACTGTGGCCTTTTGCATTAGAGCAGGGTGGTTAAATGAAGTTAATGCCTTGGTGTCTGTTTGGGGCAGCAGGACACTAGTTTTCACTCCTGAATTCCTTCACTTTAAGTATGTTCAGTGTTATTTTGCAAGGCAGTTGCTTTCCTTGCTGCTCTTCATTCCTGTCCTGTTCATGCTACAGTTGGATTGTTAGTTTTTGGGAATGCTAGTTTAGCTTTAAATGACATCCTGCACTGCATGAATTTGAAGGAGGAATAGCTAGTGCTACATTTAAGTAAACATACTCTTCAAAACACGTGTAACAAGACTGACCCCAGTGAGTTAATATTTTAAATACAGAAGGTCAACCATGTCTTGTTTTTGCTTCAAGGCGCTGTCTGGCAGTCAGTTTTCCTGCTGTTAGCACCCACCAATCCAAATAATCTCCATGCTCTACTAATTAGAAAAAATACACTTTAGGTTATGCCATTGTGGGGAGCGTAAAGGTAGCTATGCCAAAATTTTTCAGGCTCTTATATAATGCAGTGTATTCATACAATGCTTTTCAACAAACAATTTTCTGAACGGAAAACTACAATAGACTTTATAATGTATCATCTGTAAGTGTAAATGTGTCTCTATGTAGCTTTGCTTTCAGCCATCTGCTAAGCTCTGCTTTTCCTTAAAGTTTTCTCCAAGTTGTATTGCTAAGATATAAACCAATAAGATTTTGATGACTTGCCCAAACTACTTTTTCTAAAATATTTAACTCAGGTAGCAGTGAGAAAACAGCACATTTGACCTGTGATGCAGAACTACAATTAATGGGATAAGTGTTTCCTTGTGCATGCCGAATTGGATGTTGGGCCCCTCAAGGACTCTTGAAGAAGCAGTGGTTGGACACCTTCATGTCTCTCTGATCCTAGTACTGAGGTCCCAGAATAGTTTCTTAGAACAAGACAGGACACAAGATAGTTAACTTGTTCCAGGCTTATTGCAGAAGAAGCTGGAGAATTTATAGGGAAGCACAGATTATCTAGTGCTATCCTATAATACTCACATATCTCCTTTCAAACAGAGAACTCCACAGAGGCAGAAAATCCTTCTTTGTTTCTGTTTCAAACTGGAAATGGAAGCAACCTATAGTTTAATCTTAGGAGACCTGTCTGCTCAAGGAATTCTCAGAGGTTGTTCTCAGAAATGTGTCTGACTGCCCCCTCAAGCTGTTGCTTGGGTGGCAGCTGGCAGGCTTGTATTAGTAAAGACTTGTGGATGTGGGTCCAAAAAACAGTCTAAATTTTCAAGTAGATTTATATGAAGTTCTACAAATTTAGATGCCAGGCTCAGAATAATTTTTCACATGTGAGCTTTAACCTAAAATATTTCTAAAAGCCCATTTATTATATAGTTTGACTTTGTAATAAGGGGGTGCTTTTAGACCATGCATAGAATTGAAAACGCAAAGATCTACATATTGTATGTTAATATTACTGACTTGCTCTATATTGCACGTGTATACAAGCAGTCGGGAAAGGGTCTTATGAATATATTGGTTTAACTCAAATCAGAGTCTGCTTAAAAGAAATAAAAGAGAAAGAAACAACAAAAAAAAGGTGTGTGTGTGTGTTATGGCTGTTTAACCGTTATTTGGTGTTTGTAAGATACAGCACTACAGAAAGCCTGAAGTGATATTCTGTTTAAAACAATTTCTGTTGATTCTTTGGAGGGAGTAATTGAATTCCTTCATTTATTAAGCTGAAGGTGCAGCAGCCATACATAAGGGATAGAGGTGGCCTGAAGTACAACTCCTATCTCTCACGATGGCCATTCTTGTATTGTGTGAATACAGGCACCCAAATGTGGAAGGAGCTGCTATATAATATCTGGAATAAGTGTCTTTGGAAAGAGCCTCTTATAGTGATGTTTCCTCCCAGGCAATCAGAACTGTCTGATACTTGAAGGATGCTCTTCTCTGAAGATGCTACTACAATCCTGGCAACTATGGCTCTCCAGAGCAGGTTTGGGTTAAACAGCTAAAACGGTATTTGTCATCCTTTGCAGATTACTGATACAAGATGACCAATCCCAAACAATTTCCTCCCTATCCTAAATATTGGAGATTAAGTACAGTTACTAGGTATGCTAGAAAGGTGTGTTTTCTTCAGTCCTGCTTTTTGATAGAATAGTGGAGCTAAGAAAGCTGAGAAGTCTGACTTGCTAAAAAATATAGGAAGGTTTCTTGTACTTCACCCTCTTCTGCCCCCCCCCCCCCCCCTTTTTTTTTGTTGGTTGTGGGTTTTTTGTTTTTTTGGGGGGGTCGTTTTTTTTGTTTGTTAGTTTGTTTTGTTTGTTTTTTTTGTTTGTTTTTCCCTGATCTGAAACTGACCTGAACAGTCTCAAGGTCAGTAATAAATGTAACCTGGAAGATCCTGGAAAAAAACAGATTTTTTTTTTTTCTGGAATTGAAACTTTGACTTGTAAAATAACTTCTTTCAAGGATATAGGTTAATAAGTGATTTTCCTTGTGTGTTTCATTAGTATGCCATCAGTATGATAGATTTTAATATGGATGTTACTAAATAAGAATTGGCTGTACACACATCTTTAGTAAAGATACAGTCTGCTAAGGAAAACTTGTCCTCAAACTAAACAAGGTAGGTCTGTATTCAGAGTTTGTGTGACCTCATTTTTGTAGTGGGTATAGTCCTAGCAGTTTTATTTTCTTCTTTAACCAGCTTTGTACATGCAGGACTGTAACACTCATTCTTAGAAAAGTGCTTACCGTGGAGGTGAATCGGAATATATGACATTGACCACACGTTGACGTGTATCCACACTGGCACCAAGCTCAAGATTTGGGGGATACTCCTCTATGCAGGCGGCTCTCAGCTCTCCAAAAGAGCCACCGTAAGAGAAGCCATCTGGAGCTGGAAAACAAGCAATAAATACTTGCTGCTTTTTTCCTCTATGGTTTCTCTGAGGCAATATCACTGTTCATAACACTGCCATAAATCGGAAAATAAAATCTACCAGAGGCAGAGGAATTAGTGGTGTTCTGGAACAATCAGGTTTCATAGGACATTTCTACTCTTTTAAGAGCAGATTAGCATAATCTGTAGACAAACATAGTATTTCAGCTATGGCACTAAATATTCAGTGCTGCCCTACAAGATGCAAGTGTCTAAAACTTTTCTTGTGCCTCAAAGGTTGAAAAGGAGCATTGGTTCTGCTGCATGCAGCTTCTAACAGTAGCAGCATTGCTGAAGCTCCCAGGAGCTGCATACATTGAAACCTTGCCAGTTCTGCAGGTTTTTAACAGAAAGCCTGTGTGTTTGATTATAGGTCTGTGTCTTGAGAAAAAGCTTTTCTCAATAAAAACACAAAAAGTGGAAACCATGGAAAATAGTAGAGAAAATCATCCTCCTGCCTGCTTCAGACCTTTCTTAATGCTTCCATGCAAGAGCTTCATAGCTCCACAAAAACCAAAAGTGAGTGCTATTTTCTGTTTTAGAGCATAGTTAGCTAATGCTTAACATTCCGGGGTAAATTTCCCTAAGAATGTCCCAAAGTGTGGAAATGCAGGGATCTCTGCTCCCCTGCCCTCTGCAATTGTCTTCCAAATAAAGTGATCCCTCTTTTTAGCTTGCTGCATTAAAATACTACCTGGAGAAAAGGGACAGCTTCTAAAATGCATTGAAGTAGCAGTGTCTGTCTGAACAGAGGGCAGAGGACAGGATTCACTTAAAGTGCCTGTTCCTCCTTCTGGCAATTTTCACCTCTGCCAGTGTGTTCTCAAGGAATTTATCAGGACTAATCCATTCTGTCATGCACTGTGCTTTCCTTTGGCTTGATGAGGGAAGGAAGCCAACTTTGTAGTGACTCCCACTGCTCCCACGCTGGCCGGTGGACATGTGCTGAGATATTAGGCCAGCTTGTGCTAATGTAAAATTTTCCCTTAGATAGACTGGCTCAATTTATTTTCAGATAATTCTTTTGAATTTCCCTAAAAATATCACCATGGTTTTCTTTTTCCATTTCTCTAGCATTGACAATTTTAATGAGTGGTTTGAAAATTGTCCTTTATGTTTTCACCTGGCTTCTGGGTTTTTAAAGGGGCTGAAATTAGTAATGATTGAATTTTAATGCTATTTTATCATGCCAAAATATTTCTGTTTATGGGTAAAACCCAGTAATGCCAATTTGCATTTAACTATTTAATCTCAAATTTAGCTACTGAAAAGTAGGAAAAATAGATGTTACAATAATAGTAGACATTAGTTTTCTGTACATTTTTTTCCCCTTTATTACCATGGGAGTTTGCATTTCACTTCTTTTTGAGTCTAAAATTTGTTCCAAAAACAAAGATGTTACTCATTTATCTAGATGAATGCTTCTGGAAAAGCCAAAAAAAATTATCCCTGGCTCCAGGTGGACAAACTGATCCTATGAAATGTGTTTTTCTTTTAGACACAAAAATACTGGTCCAAATAATTAAATGACTGACTTCAGTGGATACTTGATTTACCTTAGTGAAATCAAGATGTGAGCCAATGCTTTTTTATGTAGCTCACTACTATTATCTATATAGACAAAAAACCGCAACAATATGCAAAGCACAAAACCTGCAGATACAGGAGCCTAACCACAGGTGACATAACTGTTGTTGCTCCACTCAATTCATTAACCCATTTATCTTTTGAATTTTTACTAGCTGAAGACTTAGAGTTATCTTTTTGTAACTGTTATTTTTTTTTTTCCCCCTTAAATATAGAAATAATCAGATCCTATCATTTCCTTGACAAAGTGGCTTTTAAGTTCTGGTCAGCAAACCCAAAATTGGCCAAAAATAGAATTCGGTAATTAAATTCTTCCTATTCCCAAATACTTTTGAGGTACCAGGGGTTTTGTTGTGGAGGGAGGAATTAGGGGGATAGCAACTGGCACTTTTTTAATAGAAAACCACTCTTTTTTAATGATGATGACAGTTGTAATGACATTCTCATGCCCTGTTGTTCTGTTTATATCTAGTTATTAACTTGTGGTCAGGGAAGTAGTAATTGCCCAGTCACTGTTGTAGGCTGTAGGAAATTAAAACATTCTTGGCTTTCCAACAAATACAAATTACATTATATGCTATACCAAGGCTATCATGGGATATGAAAATAAACTTATCAGGAGTCTAGCCATGGAGAAGAAATATTACACTGTATGAATGGAAAATAACCTGTTTAAGAAATGCTGTTTTATTGGCGTTGCATGGAACTTGTATTATGTGAATTCAGTGCCAGCACAAACACATTATTAAACTACAAAGCTGCCCGTGACCTACTTATCCTATTTTTTTAATTACATTTTTATCCCTTGCACAGCAGCCAGATTCCTTTTGTTGCCTGTATCACTAGCTTATTAATAAAGTTAACATTACCTTGCTATAACTAGTGATCTTACCATAAAAAACATCTGTTCTCGGACGCTGGCGTCTCAACCGCCTTTCCTTTCGCAGACCTCCAACAATGATTGTAATACAGGACAGAAACAGCACAATTCCGATCACTACTCCAGCCACCAGAATAGGTGAAAAAAAGAAATGGGTTTCATTTCCATGATCACCGTAGTTGGGGAATTCACTATCTGAGTCGCTTTCGTTCACGACTTCTGTACAGCAGAGAGAAAGAACATGTCAGTTGTGAAGAAAGACATTTACAGTGTGGTTATTCAGATGCCAAAACTAAGGGCTTTCAAAGCCCTAAGAGACAGCCTGAGACAGATCAGTTATATGAATTCATGCTTTTATGGACAGCCTATTTACTAGACAGCTTTCTGGAGCTGTTAGTAACTGACTCTGGGAGAGTCATTCAGCAAATGTTTCCGTGTTACTGGGGAATATCCTGCTGGAGCTGATGAATGTTACATAATTTTGATTACTTATTCCTGGAAAGATTCTTTGTATAATTATGCTGAAAGAACTGAAGTGCACAAGGAGCAATGTGAAAACCCAAAAACTTGGGCTCCACCTGGAACAGAGAAATTGTGTGTTGTTATGAAGTGTAAAAGCCTCCAAAGTTTTGCGGGCAAGAGTGAATCAGAGGGGCATGCTTTCATTTGTGGAATGAGTTAGCATCCTGAGAAACTGATCTGAAGCAGAAGGGTGAAGAAACTCATTCTTAAGTGAGGCACTGGATTTTCATAAGACATGGCTTTTTATTAAGCAGAAGCTTGGGCAGTATGACCTTAACATCTAATAAATAGTCAAAATAGAAAACCATCTTAATGAGACTTAAAATTTATTCATTAAAAACCTGAAAGTAAATAAGCTTAATTTATTGCCCATTGGGCTCCTCATGTTTAAATAGTAACCCAAGGATGGTGCCACATCTGTGCTTCATCTGTGCTAGTATTTAAACTGGCTACCTGCCTTACAGAGAGGTTAGGTTTGGTGCAGTGATTCATCCTACCTCTAGTTTGGCCTAATATTGTGTAAGGAAGGAGCTCTGTGGACAGGCAGACCTTGCCTTCAGTGTTCTGGGGGAGTAGGTACGTCCTGTGCTTCACCAGGTGGCTGCAGACTGAGATGAGCTCTACCTGGCTCTGTGCCTTTGTTCTGCCAAGCAGTTCTACACAGCAACATTACTACTCTTCCACCCCATTTTGATTTTTCAGTTGAAAGGCACTCATGGTATATGTGGCAAAAACTGTAACTGCTTTCCTCTGTTAACAAAAAACAACAAACCCTCAAGAGGTATTATCTAAGTTCAATAATAAATCACTTAAGGGAGAAAACGGAAACCCCAAGGGTATCCCAAACTATGAAAAGTCAGAATACCTCCAGTAATTTATTCCCAGGTCAAATAAGCTTTTGAGACAAGCTAAAGAGAGCATCAAAAGTTAAACAGTAAGGTTCCTCTAGAGAACCAACTGGTGATAAATGATTATATATGTGAATTAATTGCCCACAGATGTGTTTATGAGGGACTGTGCTGCTGATGGAGAGGAGGTAAATGTTAGAAGTTACAGGAAAAAGCATTTGGGATTACAGCAGATAGAATCCTTGCTTAAGCAAAAGGCTCTGTCTGTTTACTTGTGGACAAAAGTTTGTCATGCAGTAAAGGTAACTACATTTAGACCTAGGTCTTGAAAACAACTTGCAAACCCCACCCATTTTCCTAGCCTTAATCCGTAGTTTATTAAAACAACTCAAACAAACCAACAAACCACAATCAGACACCTCCCCCAGATTAAAAGAAATCTCCCACTAACTGCTCAAGATCAGACTATCTACTGAGTAAATCTGGAATTTTATTGATGCAAGAAATGATTAGAGATGGTGACGTATCAAGACTAGCTTTAAATGTGGCATGGGTTTATTTTTATAACTGGCTATATGGTAGTTGAACAGGTAAATAATTTGTTTCCTACAGAAACTAAGCTAACAGTATTTTGCTCTTTTGAGTGTTTTCTAAAGTGATTATATGCTTTTGGAAGTCCAAGTGCTTTTTGTATGGATAGATGTTAGCAGATAATTTTCAGCAATGTTTTCCCCACTCTCTTGCTTTGGGATATACCACTTAGTGTCTTGCAGTCACAATAAGCTTTAAAGAAAATGATGGCTTCTGGCCAATGTATATTATTATTGGTTCATGCTTGGCATTAAAAGCACTGACTAGAAATAGAAAGTAACTGAGGAATTAGCATGTAGTAGAGCTTTTGTTAATTTTTTAGAATCACTTGACTGTTGGTTGAGAATCTTTATGAGCAATTAAGATGGCCACGGAATGTGCTGAGCTTTTACAAAGCATGTTATGCCAACAGAGAAAACTGGACTTTCTGAAAATTCAGCTGGTTCTGAAGCATTAAATCAAAAGGGTATGAAAACCCGTCCTACTTCATACTCTTAGCACAAACAGTTTATGGGCATGGGATATGTTTGAGGGGTAGATTCTGCTGATTTTGCGGATCAGCAACAGTGCCCAGTACTGTGTACTCCCAGTGGCTTTCCTCAGCCTTGTTTATTCAGGCTTTTGTAAATTCTGTCTTTTGAAAGATGCGAATATCGCAGCAGTGCCAGTTTGTTTAAATCACAGTCGCAGGGAACTGACACCTGAACTGAAAGCACTTGTGGATGCTTTACTGGTCATTTTGGCTGACTGGCAAAGGTAAAAGGGAAGAATTAACTTTGTTGCCATCGTGGTGAGCACACGAGCCTGTTTGGTTTCTTTTTTGTGTGTGCGTTTGTATTTTTGGTTTGGTTTTGTTTTTTTTTTAGTTGTGTATGGAATCCAACCAGTATCTTAACACATTGACTAGTTCGGAGATGCCTGTGGTGTCACCCAGGGTGTGCACTAATATTTAGTTATATTTTACTTTATGGGAATTTAACAGATTAGCAGTGACTTCAGATAGCAGGTGCTCTCTTGTACTTGAGGTGGTATTTTTTAAGTTTCAAGACAGCTCATTTATCTAGCATGTTCTCAGGGCTTCCTTAACTGTTCCAAATATTGTTTATTTTATGTCTTGTTTCTCACCATAGTGACTCTTTCTCTTTTATGGTCTTATCTAATTGAACCCAGTCTCTAGTAAACACAAGATCTATTGCAATATTGCTCTTATTAGAAAGAATGAATAACTCCCATTAGCCTAGATCCTAAAACAATACGCAGTTGATAAACTTCTCTTACAGTGTTATTTTCAATTTGACATTGAGTCTAGTCCTATGGACTTTATACTGACTTACTACTGTGTGAATTGCTCAGGTGACTAACTAGTACAGAACGAAATAGAGGTGCCATGCTTGACCTTGGGCTCACCATTCTATGATTCTATGAGATACTATGTTGATACAAATTCTGTGGATTTCACTTTTTTTTTGGGGGGGGAGGCGGATGTTTACATTACTTTTGGCAAAAAAATGCCTTATAAATTTTTCTCTTCTTATCCAAATACACCTTCTTTTGATAAGCTGTACATTTCTGTATATAAAAATGTGATGTGTTTTCATTCAGAAGAATCTAGAAATGTATGTGAAGCCTATAAATATAACAGCAATAGCAGAGTGCTAATTTTTTTTTTTTAAGGCATTTTTTCCATGAAACAGGGAATGGTAAACAATAACACGAGTAAATATGAATACTTTATACCTAATCCTCTAAATATGAATTACACAGGATACAGAAACCATTGTTTCTCTCCAGTTATGGGAGTTGCGTAACCAGATATGGGACAAACAGAATGTGCTGGCTGTTACAGCAGTGAATACAGTGCAAGGGGCACATATGGCTGAGTGAACAGTTAATTTATGATGAGAGTGCTAGTGGGAAATTGCCTACACTGTCTATTCAATGTTAGACAATAAGTTATCAATCTGAAAAATCCCTTAAATATCATGTTATATTATTTTGCCCAGCGCTCCTGCATCTCAACAGACCAACTTGTGAAGTAGCTTCATGTAACTGAAGGAGGTGTAGTACAACTCAATTTCCTTGGCATATATTGTGCTCTCTCCTTCTCATTAACCTGTCTTTGAAGGGGACCCTTTCTACCCTTTCGAACTTGGCAGTAAGTAATGTTGAGGTTTCAGCTGGGTCAGATCCTGTCAGAGGGAAATGTCTTGGTGTGCAGCTGTGTTATGGAAGCTTGGTACATCCAAGTTACAGCCCTTCATTAGGAGCACCTTCTCTCTTACTGAAAAGCAGTCTCGTACCTGCTTGTATCTCAGATGATACAGAAGTGAAGCACTACATATAAATGCGTATCACTTCACTTCTCTCCATACTGACATAGTCCTGGTTTTGGGTTTTTTGTTTGTTTTGTTCTTGCTGTTTGTTTTTGCTTTTTATGGTTTTTTTTTTGTCCTCTGAAGGCACATCAGAATTAGTGAAGCCTGAACAGTCTCTCTAATTGTTTTTTTTTTTTTTTTTGGGTTCCCTTTAAAAATCAGAGATAATTTTAAGGCTGTATCTTAGCAAGATAACCAAATCTCTTCCCCTGGTTTCTTTATCTTAATAAAGATGATAATTCATAATATCACTGGAGAGGATGAGACATGGAGTGGCTTTGCTTCCTGGGCTGAAATGTGCCCGAACAGCTTATGAAGAAGTGCTGATGTCTTGTAGTGGAAGGATTTTGTGTGCACAGTTGTACACCAGTACATCCCTGCCAGCCTCAGTTAAGCCTTGGCTGAGGACAGAATGAGGTTAGTGATTTCTTGCTGAACTAGAGCTGACACACACTGACAGAACAATGTTGTAGTACATGCACACCCTGGGTCAGTACAAGTTGTTTAGTTTGATGATCTAGCACCTCCTGTTGCTTTAAAATATGGTATGTTAACCAAAATGAATAGGAGGATGGTCTGTATAGGATAGTGCATTGAATGCCTTGATTTTTAAATAATCACAGCCAAGTGTCTCAAATACTAAGGCAATTTAAAGTATGTTTCTGATATCCTTATTTTATTTGATGGTGGGGAATATGTGTTGGAATATGTGGTCTCTTTATCAAGGGGAAGAAATTGACAGATGGCAAGGAGTTGAGAGGTCCCAGTGAGGCACACTGGGATAGATAAGCTATATTAGTGGAATTGATTAAGATTTTGTTGATCCTGCCTTTATGAACAGTTCCTGTTCAAAGATGATTTAGTCTGCCCAAGAGTGACCAAT